TATATATATATATATATATATATATGTGTGTGTGTGTGTGCGTGCGTATATTTATATATGCATAATATACATAAAATATGTAACATATATAGTATATATAACATATACATATATATAATACATACGCATATATGTAATATATAAAAATATACACAATATATATAATATACATAACATATATAATATTAACAATATATATGTATACATGTATATATATTTATATACATATGTATATATGTATATAAATATATATGTATATGTATATGTATATGTACATGTATAAATATATATGTATAAATATATATGTATGTGTATATGTATATGTATAAATATATATGTATGTGTATATGTATATGTATAAATATATATGTATAAATATATATGTATGTGTATATGTATATGTATAAATATATATGTATGTGTATATGTATATGTATAAATATATATGTATATATGTATATAAATATATATGTATATGTATATGTATATATATATATATATATATATGAGAGAGAGAGAGAGAGAGAGAGAATGTAAACATAAATATGCAATATTTTCTTTATTTTTTTTTTACTACAGGAGAAACTTAATTATAAAAAATAACTATCAAAAGCAAAATAAAAAAATATTGTTCTTGAAGTGTCTTCCTTGTTATCAAAGCATAAACATCTGATAAAGTTATCAGTCACTAGTAACAATGATTAAGTTCACATCACATTAAAGTGATTATAATCTGTATACATTTGTAACATCTAAGAGAGCACTGTCAAAGGACAAAGCTGGTATAAATTAGGTATTCCTCACTAAAGGCATTTTACTAAATATTTTTTTTAAGACATAATAAGGACAACTTTTTATTTTGATCCATGGACTCAATGATTAGTTTTATTTAATTACTAAAAATATTAAATGTCATTCAAATATATATCCATGAAGCAATAACCAGTTTGCTTGAGACACAAAAATTGATCATATACACCATATTAATCATCCTTTTGTTCCATCTTTTTGTCTCAACGAAACACCCAGAACATGTATGATAAACGGTGGTGAAGTCTTTTCATACAGGTCTACACAAACACAGAAAAATGTCTGTGCAGGGACTGAATTCGAAGAGCTAAAATGTTCAAGGGCAAACTGTAAAAATATATATCCCAAATTATGATTTGTCGCGTTTTGCCCTCAAGTAATATGGGAAGTGCATCCCTAGTATTGACCTGCACCTCGTCTTCTCGATCAATTTTGGGGCGTTTATCTTCAGTTTTACGAACTAATGACCGTTACTACTACCACTAAGAATAGCATTATATCATGGTTAAGATCTACAATAATAATAAGTACTATCAACCCACATCTTCGCCATAAATGATATATGAAAATCAGACCAGGACCACCCTCCCCCACCAACAACAGATAACTTCACACAGAAAATCTACGCAATATAACCTCAAAAACACTTCTGTAATTACAATAAAATCGATTTCTCCTTACCGTCTGTTGTTTCTTGAAGTCATTCAATTGCTCTGCACACTTGTCACGCGGCATCTTGAAGATTTAGAGGTGAAAACAGAGACGTAAAATATCCTAGAACGTCCAACTGAGGCTGCAGAAGAAGGACTGAATCAGAGGACCGAGTGACTCCTCTCAGATCGCCGTCGTCAGCTGATGCGACGTTGCCGGTTCTCGCGTCTGGGACTCTGGGCGAGGAGACGGACAGATTGTCTCTGAATGATAATTGTCATTATCGGTTATTGTTTCTTTCTTTCTATTGTTGTAGAGGGACTGGGTTGGTTAAATGAATTTTGATGTTACTATGTTCCTCTTCATCTCTCTCTCTCTCTCTCTCTCTCTCTCTCTCTCTCTCT